ATGAGACAACCTTTTTAACTGGATAACACTTAGAAAACTACTTTAAATATATAAGCATTGGCACTATCCCAACATAAAAGTCCACTGTGACACTAAACATCTCCCCAGTGAAGTGATAGGAACCTTCGGCAAATAACAGAAACTTTGTCTCCACCAAATCCCCGTTTTATTCCTAAGAGCCAAAGTGTCACATGTCACACTAAAACGTCACTGACTCACTCTACACTACACACCAGCCTCCAAGCATGTTTAAGAGACGTCTGGTGTGTGCATGTTCTCTCTTCATTTTATCTTCTGCCAGGGCATATCTGTCATGATGGCTTCCAATAAAACCCCTGAGACTTCATAAAGCTCTCTGACATTCTTCTTGCCGTATCGGTTTCTGAAGGGGAGGTTTCCCATGGGAACAGCAGCAACCTACAGCATGTTCGAGTGCCAAGTTTAAGGCAGGCAGCCTGCATCCTCCTTTCTCGTACCTCAGCACTGAAGTCATTCTGGCTCCAGATGTGGGGCCGCAGCTAATTTGAGGGCAGCTCCGAGAAGGTCAGTTTTATGAAGTCAAGTCTGTCAAAACGTCTTTTACAGACATGGTGGTGGTGAGTCACATACAGCGCTCTCGTCATGTGCAAAGACACAACTGACAGGTTCCAAAGACATTACCGAAACTAAGATCTGAGTGAATTAAGCTCTTTGCCCAGACCACACACACTGTACATTTCAACATATAGCTGAATAACAGAAGTCAAACAAAGAGTGTGAGCAAATATGCCAATGTGGCTAAGAACGAATAGAGGCTAGCAGAGGCGAAACAAGTGCCATGCATTTTTATTCCCCTTGGTGGTAATTTAGCTCTTGGTGAACCCCAAAGATTTTACTGTTACAGCTATTTACACGTATAGTCCCCATATAAACAAATTAAGCAACAATTGGTTCACATGAATAATCAAATATCAAAATATTAGTGTTCTTGGCAGCTTTGAAGGGCACATGACACCTGCTAAGCCTTTCATGACAACTAACATAAAGTTTATTTAAGACATCATTTCACCAAATAAGTGTTTATAAATGTCTATATAGGTTTATGACAGATGTCATGAAAGGATTCCGCAAGTGTTGCGCAGCTTTACGGACACTGCATTTGCATAGAGTGTTACTGACAGAGAACGCATGACAGATTTACAACATCAAAGCTTAGAACTGACACTTGATAACTGATCGATTTTTCTGTCCGTTAAAGTGGTTTTGACCTTTTGTGCAATATTTCATTTACTTCATCCAAGCAAACGGCCCACATTTGGCTTCACACTACAGGGCAATAATCAAGTATTTAAGTTGACTAGATGAAAGACCAGAGATATTTTCTTTTCCAGGGTAGGTATCTTATCCTGCATCTGACCGGCTGTCTACTGTAAACCAGAATGTCAGAACTCATGCCACATCTGCTGGAAATGCAAACAAATTAATTACGATTCTGTGGGCTGGGAACACCCAGCAGAGTCACACCAACTCAATCCACTTTAAAGGAAACTTTAGGCCTGCTGTTAGCACTGCAGCTGTTTCACAACTTGTAGCCATTCCATTGCTAAATAATCAGCTGATAGTGGTTAGGAAATTCAGCCACATCTGAAAAACAACACTGCAACTGACTCGCTTTGCAATAATCTAGGAGCTCAGCATAAAGTATGGAAATGGCTTTGGAAACCTTTTCTCTCAGTACCAATCACAATGTCTGAACTCAAGGGCCCATATCAGGTACTGATCCATTAGCAGTGCTCTAATAAGGGACTGATATAGAGCAATGAATACGGAAATATACAGTAGAGTCTAAAGAGGCCTAATAGAGACACTCATTTACCAACATTCTTTTAAGGACCGTGCAAACTTGTCAATTATACAGTATACAGTCGAACGCAAATGTTTGGGCGGCCCGGTCAAAATTCCATGTTTTCTTGATTTTCTAAGTAAAATTAAGTCAACATAAGCTAAAATTTTAAAGCACAATTACTGCTTATTTGCTGAATTTAACACAATGGAAACAAAAAAAAAAAAAAATGAAATGTGGCCTTTGCAAAAACTGTGGCACAGTTCATCAGTGATGTTTTTTTCTAATATTTTAAACATCTAAATTAAAAAACAGAAATTGTGCACAAAAATGTTAACTTATTTTACATAGAAAATCATTTCTAATCATTTCTAATTTGCCCAGATGAGTTTTGCATACAACTGTACAACCAAATCTGTTGAAGTCAAAGCTAAAGCAGATAAAATGTAGAAATTAACCAGATTAACATTAAGGAGAAATGTGGCACTTGTTTCTTAAGGGCTAACAAATCAGTACAATGAATAAAATGCAGACATTCTAGCATGTTGGCCCAGAATCGCCGATATGGTCAGCTCTTCCGGAGTACAATAAATGTTTCATGAAATATCAGTTTGAATTGTCAGTCTGATCTAAGCATCAGTCCCATGATGAACAATTATCAGCAGATACTGACATAATTCCAATACAAATCATGCATCACTACCAAGAAACAGGTACCGAACGTCCATTTAACAAGGTTAGTATCAGCGCCATTACCAATCCGCCATATCGGATCAGTGCATCACTTGAACAAACTAAGGTGAGCCCCCTTTTGTGTCCATTTTCAAACTGCTGTACTTTGAAATCACCAGTCAAGAGGTGTTTCAACTGAACTTTCGCAAACGTTTCCTGCCAACTTTGTTTAAGTGAAATTCGCCCTGCGTGGCCAAATGACCCCTGTCCCTCCACATGAAAAGTCCCTACAGTGATCAAGGGGGAAGCCTTCAAAGGGAAACAAAAGCGATCCAGACCTCTGAATAATTTAGGCTCTTTAAAACTGCGGCAACCCGATGAGGCGTTTGAAAGGCCGACTTCTTTTGATCTCTCCTCAAGTAGACACCAGCAATGGTGTTTGGGCAGATGAGCTCGCTCGCATTACGAATGCAGGAGAACATCTGTTCCTGGAAGCTTTTCAACACCTGTCTAGAAGAAAGCTTGTGCCTGTGACATGTGTTGAGGAGAGGTAGAGGGGGAGAGACAGCCATGTACAGACACAAAAGGGCCTGATGCGCCTCTTCTCACCTGAGGGGACGCGACAGTAAGTGAATCAAGGCTCTGACGCAAAACCAAGTGCTCTGACTCAGGTTCCCTTTACTTATCTAACATGCAAGTGTGAGTAAACAGAACAGGGCTAAGAAAACAACCTGCCTGCTTAAATGATACAAATGCTCATACCTAGCAGAACAGACATAGACTGACTAACAGGGTTGCAGAAAATGACTGACAACATGCAGTTCTTAAAGTCTTTTTAACAGCTACTTGGTTTTGCACATCTTATTTGACTCTCTTCGGTAAAGTAAACGACAGAAACACAGGCACTGTGGTATTAGAAATTCACAAAAGTAGGCATGATGAGCTCCTGCTGGAATTCTACCTAGACTCAGGGGTGCCTTACCTTGACCCACTTTCCTGGACAATGAGTCCCAGAGACTGAGCTTTTTGCAGCAATTGTTTAATATTTCAGCCTCATATTCAGTACAGTCGCAAAAGCATGCAACTCACACTGCAGCAAACTCACAGCTCACAAACCGCACTACCCAAAAATAAAAAGGCACCAAAAAAATAAAAGGTGTCATGCACCTCAGCCAAAACCATCCTTTCTCTCATGACTTTACTTACAGATCTCTGCACTCCACTTCAACAATGTTTAACATGGGCTTTTCCTTTTAAGGAAAAGCTAGTGGGGGGCCATAATTTAGGCAACCTGGAGTAAACAAGTTCCTAAGAGTGAAAATAAGGTGCCCGCCTCTTGTTTCTTGTTGCACTGAAGTGGATAACTAACAGCGTCATACCTCAGCATAACTAACTCCAAAGCTTGCCTTCATGAATGCTATTATAATCACACAGACAGACTGTCCTAGAGGAAAATGACAAAGTACGTAAACGCACTGGAAAGTGCCAGTAATGCACTTTCTAACTGCGTTATTAAGTTAATACTGTCATGTAATCATGTTTAGGAACCAAATATACACAAAGCCAAAAGGAACACATGCACATTAATCTCACACTCAAGTTGATGGAAATAAATGAAAAAAGTTGGATTTTTAAAAACACTTAGTCCTCCAACTTAAAAGGACCACATCAGGTATGGTGTACAACAGCCAGTTACTTTAGTATACTGCAATATTGCACTGCCTGCCAAGGCAGAAGCACAAAACCCTTCTGAAATCACTGCTTAAGTAAAATCAAAGCTGTTTAATATGTTCAATTAAAGCTCATTAACATGCAAAAGACAGACCCACCAATGCTTGGAAGATTATGTCTTAATGTTAGGAAAGAAATATTAGAAATATTTAAGCATTTACTCCAGAAACTGTGCAACTCATACTGATAACATCTGCGTCAACCAACCACAGCAGGTGGGCAAAGTAGGTTTATTGATAATTTGCAAATAGCAAATAAATAATAATTTGCTAAATAACAGCAAATGTCGATGAATCTCAGGGCTGAATACTGAAGCCATGCAGGGTTTAAACACATCCGTCTTACTACTTTCTTTACAGAGTCTCAAATCGCAACAAAAGCATTTTAATGACACCAACTATAAAACTGAACTTTCACAAGAAGTGAGAACACAAACTTGATATTCAGAAAAACACAGTGGACTGGTCATTCATGCCCATGTGTCCTATGGAGCACTCACTCATAAGCTTCCTGCTGCTAATGACCAGCACACATGACAGACGCCTTCAAACGGCTCTTCCGTTTCATTCAATAAAGACCAGAAACGTTTAACCAGGAGCGAAAAACGAGGTTACAAAGCACTACAGACAAGCTATGAATTCAATAAACTCATAAACAAAGTTTCTAAAAGTACCGAAGTGCACTGTGAGTCCTCCAAATAAGTTAATCCCTGCAACAGAGACAAGAAAAACGACTGCGAGGGTAAAAAACGACCCTAATTAAGAGTGAACCTTACCTATGCTGGCTAGCATTCACTTCCATTGAAGTTCCGGTAGCACCATTATCAGCGCTGAGTTGGTCGCTGCCGTTTTTAAACGAACTTTTCAACAATTCCTGAGCAGCAGTGGCCAAACTATTGCTCGCCTTGTCAGTGAGAGGGTGTTCAGTCAGTGAGCTGCTGTGCTGGACGCGGTGACTCTGCTGCAGTAAAGCAGCCTGGACCGCTCCGGGAGAGGAAACGGAGGAGAAGTGGAGCTGCGCCGCCGCGGGGGCTACCCCGGTCTCGGGTGCCAGCAGCAGCGACTCGGCTACGTCCAGATCCACACTCCTCACTTTCCGCAGCTCTCTACGTCTCCATTGCGAACTCTCCGCCGCGCTTCGCTTCGCCTTGCCGGGACCGCTCGGCAGACCGGGCACGCTGGAGCTTCCCCGCAGTGCGTCTCCCCCGTCTGCGCCGCCGTTTGAGTCCAACGGTCCTGACGACGAGGTCCGGCTCCCCGCCGTCGCCATTTTCTGCGCTGAATTCTGCCACTTAATAGGTTTGTGTGGAAGAGGGAGTGGAGGGAGGGGGGCAGGAAGGGAAGAGGGGCGGAGCGAAGGCACCCCGCTCTGTTTACATAGTGACGGGAAGTTCGATTCAGCTTCACGAACCGATTCGTCCGGATTGGCCGGTTCAGTAAGTCGAACTTCGTTCAAGTTTTGGGAAGTTCGATTCAGTTTACCGAACCGATTCTCTCGAGTTGCGCGATTTAGTGCATCAAACGTTGCCCTAGTGTTGGAAAGTTCACTCAACACTGATACTATCAAACTGTTTCGGTAAACCAAACGATATTGTAGCGATGTAGAGATTCTTCTGAATTGTGCGTTTTAAATTATAAAACATCTGATTCAACCGATTTCCTTTCGAAACCGAATGAGTTTCACTGTACTTACATCAGTTTATGGTTCATCTTATGGGCATTAGAAATAAAACAAGCAATTAACAGTAGCGAAAAAACTAAAAAAGTGCGAAAATGTGCAAAATACAAATGTGAATGCTATGCTTCCATAAAAAACTTCTTAATTCAGTTTGGCTTGTGCATCGGTTCGACTGATTTAGTGAAAAGATTCGGTTAAAAAAAAAAGATTCGTTCATAGTCGGACCTCACCATGCGAACACGTGGAGCGTTCAATCCTTCACTGAGCCGAGTGGTTAGCGGTAGCCTACTGGCTAAATTCACTAAATTCTTCGACTACGATTTCTGCGATTTAGGTTTATGTACGCCACAAATTTAGGTTGTTACTGCGTTCTAAACATTTAGGCATTTCCATGCTTCAATAACTTATCCTTACAATACTGATATTTTGTACGTATGGCGGACCATACTTGAGAGTCCAAAACAGCATAGAAGAAATGTTGACTCTGTAATGTAATTCAAAGGGGAATGCCACCAACTTTTAAGAATTTCTTAAGTCATTTAAACTTGCCAAGTGAGAATTGTTCACAATGGTGGTGATGCATCTGAATGTACATGAAAGCTACTTAAGGGAAAAAAAATGTATGAATTAAAAAAAAACCTTATTGGCCAAAACCTTCTCTTATCTGTCATAAAACACTCTCAGAGATAATATATTTGCATCATTTCTATGAGGCAGCTTTTAGAGAAATTAAACTTATTTAGACGTCTGGCTCCTCTCACCACCACTGATTCTGTAAATCTAGAACTGTGCATTTCACAGACATTTTGAAAAGATTGTTCATTTCTTTTGTTGTTAAGTTTTTATCTATCTATCTATATATCTATATCTATATCTATATATCTATCTATCTATCTATCTATATATATATATATATATATATATATATATATATATATACACGCATATAATCTATACATATAAAGTCCCCTTTTTTCCTATCACCTTTGTCTTTTGTAAAAGTGGCTGTATCAGTGTGGGTCATTTCTATGCAGCGAAGGCTATTAAAAAGGTAAAAATGACCATTTCTTCTGTGTTGGAAATTACAGAAGAACAACACTCTAATAACTAATGCTTTCATATCAAAATAAGAACATCAGAGTTCATTTCCTTTTCTCCTCATAATGTGTGAGCCACTAGTGGCGTGTGTCAATGCATGGTTCAGTGTGTACCCTTTTTCTGGGCCAGCCGTTGGCCTGGGCAGAGTGTCAGCTTTGTGAACCTGCAAATTATGTGTTCTGAATAAATCTGTCTTTTGTGTTGTATCTGTCTTCCACGTTGTGTAATGGCCTCTAAGGCCCCATAAACAAATGAGAAAATAAACTTTTTCATGGCTTCTGAAACTAAAACACGTTATAAAAAAGAACAGAAAACAGAGGGACATTTTTGGTTCATCATTCTCGATTGTTATTGAAGGGAAATATCTTGATATCACACAATAATTATTTTTGCTGAATTCTGTGTCTGTGATTCCACCAATGTCACCAAAAGCTTAGAGTAGTTTGATGTAAAATGCTCTATTCTAGATAAACTTACTAAGCCAGAATTGTTCACAGTAGTGGTGATAGGAACCAGACATCTGAAGAGCTGAATGCCTGTAGACTACATCACAGAAAGCTATTATATGAAATAGTTACAAATATGTTTCCTGATGCCCGAAACATTGTTTTACAATAGTTCTAAGAGCAGATTTTGGCCTAAAACATATATTTTAAAAGTCCTTTTAGAGCAGAGAGGTACATGCAGGGCACTGTAAGGCAAAATCGTACCTCCCAGAACATTTTTTAAGATTTACTTTATATAAAAATGTAGACCTAAAGATTCATGGATTGTTTTGGATAGTAAATAAAATTTTCTCCCGCTGGTGAAGTTCGAAAGAGCTGCATTGAAGCTTTAGGTAGAGGGAGGCCAGCAAAACAATTTCCTGTCAACGTGGATTCAATCTATCACTGAGAGCTATTCTTAGCCAGTAGGGCTTCCTCTGCAGCTCCTGCATTTCCTGCTCACGTGGAACGCTCCACAAACTATTTGTGCTCTCTCTTCTGTCATTTCAGCTCTGCTCAGCGGAGTTCACTTCAGAGTACAGATCTTTTCTGGAAAGAGAAATGGAGGCAGGCAAAGTTAAATTTGAGCAATAACGTGCATTCAAATAGGATATTCAGCACAATTTGCTGATGTGTTTTGTGGATGGAAAAACCTAGTCTGCCATATTCAGTACAAATGCTTAGATGATTTGCTGTACAGTGTATGCATCACTGTTACATTCTTTGAGCTTTAAATTGTACTGTATTTTGTTTTTTTACTGCTTGCACAAGTACTCATCTATGTTTCTGCAGCACATAGATAGATAGACAGAAATAGTACTCTGTTGGAAGTGAGACTGCAGACTTCGTGGACTTTCCATAGCAGAGGTGCAGAGGTGGGCAGTAACTAGTTCCATTTACTCAGTTGCATATACTTAAGTACCAATTTAGACGCGTTTGTGCTTTTCTGAGCATTTTCAAGTGATGCCTTTACTTATGTTCAAGTAGGCCTATGTTTATGCAGGAATGACTCTGCTTTTTATTTAGTTCCAATTTAGTCATTTACATTTAGTTTTTAATTTTATTCATTTAAAGCTGACCAGACCTGGGCCTCTGTGCTGACCTATCACTTTGGAGCTTTAGCATTTTTTATATTGGATCAAAGGGATTCCAAAAAGAGAAGAATAGCAGATAAATACGCCAGTTCATATGCTAAAGGATGCTGGATGTACTAAGAAAGTCCACTTCAGTTCTATAAGTCACTCATTTACTCAAGATTTTTTTTTTACCTTTTTTAATATGTAAATGTATGTTCAATGTAAAAGAAAAACGTTCATTTTAATGAAAGTTTCTGATTTTTTTTATTAACCAAAACTATCAGTGAACCCACATGTGTCTTCTGAGGATTCATATGTATTGATGATGATGGTAAAATAGTGGTACATCTGAAAAAATGTCTTCTATGGGGGCCATTTTGCCTTGCATGTACCCTCCACCATGGATAAATAAAAGAAATACATTTTAGGCCACAATCTTTTCTCAAAACTATCATAAAAAATGTTTCAGACATCAGGCAGTAAGTGTTTCATATATTAAATGTCTGTGAGGTAGCAGTGAGAGGCATTCAATTCTTTGGACGTCTGGTTTCCATCACCATATAATCATGCAGAAATGTTTAAAATTGTTAAAATTCCCCTTTAAGTTACTTTTAGTAACTACTTTTACTTCTTCTTGAGTCATTACTTCACTGAAGTAACTGCATGTTCACTTGAGAACAGTTTTAGCTCTACCCGCCTCTGTTCCACAGTAACAAATGACTGAGCCTCAAACAAAGGCCTATGCTTGGCTGCCATGGTGACCTTTAGTGTTGATCACTCTTAATATAGAAAAGAGCCTCCTGGAGAGCTGCAGGTACCAAAGCAGCTTATGTTCACGTCCGTCTCCTTTCTTTGTGTATGAGACGTTCAAAGCATATCGTCTTACAGTAACAGTAGCGCTCACGTCTTACACGTTTGGAGATGACAGTTCTTGTGATGACAGTTCTTGTGAAGTCAAGTTTTTCAAAGAGCAAACAGTGAAATCTAGATGACCATCTCTGGAAGTGGAAGCCTATAATTACAACATGGTTAACATACGAGAAGCATGGCTGGGAACCTGCCGTTTGAATTCTCCAACCATACTAAGTTTGTTTACTGTTACAGATATAACTCAGAACGATGTTTGGTGTGGACAGGTGGCGCGGCTGAAGTAATTTTTATGTAGTTTACATAATTAATTAGCCTCATTAGCTTGTTAGTGAAGCAGATAATAATGACCTGAAACTGCTTTGTATTGCAACATCTGGACAGACGTCCTACTTTATTCACAGACATTGTTATAAATTGAACAATCAAACCCATATGCTCCATTTTTACAGGACCATTTCACAATGGTCATGTTTTTTGTTACTGGGCCTTTAAGATTGATATATGTAAATGACCCCTGCTCTGATTGGATGCCTTGAATTGCGCTTCATTCAAAATGCATTCCAGGCTGAAACACACCTAATTACTTCGGCATGAATGAGAGGGGCTAAACTGCTGTAAGCTGAATAGAGGGATCAGGGATGTATGTAAATGTGTTGGTTTTTTGTGACATCACAGAAACAAAGAACCATATTTGGCAACTTAACCCCCAAATATGGCCCATATAGACTGTGAAGTATATGGTATGTTTCAAAATATTAACTGTGTTGGTATACTACATGAAAGTGAGGACAATTCACTTCCCCTTGATATGGGGCTGTTGAGATTATCTTGAAACCTATGAAGCCTATGGTACTGATCAAGCCATGACCTGATTTATATGCAGTAGTAGGAATATATTTGCACAACAATTCAAGCTCTTGTTCTTTTTTCAATACATGATATTGCAGCACAAACAATTTGAAACAGTTCATTCATTATTATGTAATTAGTAGACCAGATAATAATGAACTGGAGCTGCTTTCTATTACCACATCTGGACAAATGTTTTGCTTTATTTACACAGTTTGT